GCAAGTTCCACGGAGCCTAGCAAACTTCGTGTGAGTGTATCCAGAGCTCTCTGCTTCGAGTTGTTTTCTTCGGTTGACGCGACGGGCTCGCGTGTTTAGAGCCTTCAACCAGATTGGGCTAGAGGTTCGTGTGGAAGGAACTCTTGTCCACCTCTCCTTTTCTGTCTGTAACCGCAACCCAAGCAAGTTTTCCTGCCTGCACCGCGACCATCTTCGGTGTAAGTAAAATAATCTTTAATCAACCGCTAAGTGCCCGTGCCTAATTCTAGCCCGCCGGCCTGCATTCCCCGACCCGGCGTGTCCGGGCTGCTGGCCACAGCCCGCCGCGCACAGGCCCCCGAGGGCCTCGGACCGCTCCCGGCCCGCACAGAGGGCATTGTGAGCATCCCCTTCCTTCAGCAAGAGTGGGACTCAAAAAGGCTTCAGTGGGTCCCATTGTTGCTGCTCCGATGACTGCTTACTTCAGTCTGGGGCCTGATATGCCCTGGACTGCAACGTGCATATTCAAGGTGCTGGGGTTAAAGTATTGTCAATTCAGGTGCATGGGGCTGCTCTTCTCCAGCTGCTGCTCAGAACCTGGGAAACAAGACCGAAGAAAAGAGAGAAAAGGGGAAAGAAACAGAAAGGAGTCAGAAAAGGGGAACAGGAAGGGGCCAAAATAGAGAATCAAAAAGCTGATGGTGAGGCAGGGCAGAGGAAGAAAAAAAAATGCAGGGGATGGGGGGAGCAGAGGGAGAAAACACCACTGGAAGGGAAAAATAAGTTCTCTCTTTGGGAAGTCTGGTATCCCTCATGCTTTTTGTTCTATAAAACAGAGAGGGCACCTGAAATCCAATGCGAGGACTCCCAACATGAACCTCGGATGCGAATGCTGTGACTTGAGGCCACGCGGTTCGACGGTGGGTCCAGCAGGTCATCACAACTAGCAAGTTTGAGAACCACTGAGAGAACTGCAACTCCCTAAGTGTGATCCAGGCTGTCGGAGTTGCCGGCTACAGCCCTTCCCTCTGTTGTTGGCCAGCTCTGCATCTGGTCACATCTGAGGAACCAGACACAAAATCTGACAGTCTGTCACGCAGCTAGAATCCTACATTTCACATGCCAAACTCTGCTGCTGTGTAAGCGCATGTAATTGCCAGTGAAGTCGGTGCGGCTCTACAAATTGGCCTGTCATGCTCCTGTAGACCGCTGATTTTTTTTTTTTAAATACTCTTTTCAGTTCCAGATAAGGATTGTGCCATCCTTCCTTCCATCGAGTAGCTGCACTGAGGACTGCCACCGATTTCCCCAAGACTTACTGTACAGTATGTTGCTGTGGGCAAGAAAAACTGGCCTTTTATGAGATTCTCAATTAAATAGGTCCTGTGCTCCCAATCAGAGCCCTGGTTAAGAAACGAACCTTTTGTGTTCCCAAGAAATACAACATTTTCCCTTGACTCTGCAAAGGCACTTGCAGGGGAGGGAGGGGGTGGGGATTGATATCAGTGGGAATGTGCTCACATAAGAATATGATTAAGGACTACTCCTATAAGTAAGAGTATCACTGCTTCACTGAAAATCAGTGGTTGTTTTGCAGTTGCCTTCAGCAGGCATTGGACTAAACAGCAAGTCCTCGGGGGTACCAGCAGTAGGAGATGCAAACAAATATACACGTCTCTAGCCATAGTGCTATTAAAGTCACACGCCGTACAAGACCCGGCTTTAGCTGTTGAAACCATGTGGTCATAATTTACTGTGCTCAAATTAAAACCTACAAAATCCTAGTATTGCTCATATATTCAGACTAGACCTCAATGCCGTGACACTTAATGCCATGCCTTACTTCAATAAATAAAAAATTTTAACCATGAAAAACCAGCTTCTGACTGGATGTATTCACTGTTTCAAAGGAACAGGGGACGGCAACAGGCCTCCCAGGCCATTAAGGCCAGCCCTTGCTTTCGCAGGCATTCGTTTGTCCAACAGGAGCTACAAGAGCCTCTATGTCAGCCGCCACCTCACAACGCAGACACAAAGCACCCATCCGAAGACCTATGGCATGTTACATGTTAAGGACAAGAGAGACAAGGGCACTGCCAATGCCTTTACCATGGCACTGGCAGAGAACATTAGGGGAAAATATTCTCAGTTGATCCTAAGAAAGGGATCACACCCTGACATGCCCTATGTCACAGAGGAAGATAAGAAACATCAATGGCTCCTAAACTGGGATATCTACTATGGCCAAAACGCTCTCCCCCCGCCACACGCACAGAAAAACTAAATGAAAAACTTACTGCAAAATATTAGCCAAGACCCCACCTGTCTCCCGTACTGTACTAAGCAGGCAGGACTGGCGAGGAACTCAGCTCTGGAGTCCCTTACACGTATGGCCCAGAGTGACCTCTGAAGACCCACTGTATCAGAGACCTCTTAGGACCCCCCAGCCCTGTAGATGAGTTTTGTCCAAAGTATATAAAACCTGGAGCCTGATCTACCTGCCAGAACATCTCCCAGAACAGCAGAGGTGGTAGCAACCAGGGTCTAATCCTCAATGGATATTGCACCCGGTGTCATCATTTTCACCTGGGTGAAGCACAGGTAAAACACGGCCCTTCGCATTTAGTTCCATTTGACACGTCCTTCGCAAAGGTGTAAATGATGACACAAGTGGCAGGCCAGGCCAGGCCCCAGGGGTTTTATTTGCAGCATACTTTCCTCCTACCCCAAAGTTTCCAATTACATCCAGCCATATCCTCTTCTTATTAACTAGGACGCTCTTGACGCAGAAGGGTAATCAGGAATGTGCCTTAGACAAATGGTCTTGATTTTGGGGGGCCATGCTGCAGATGCAATTCAACGACGCTTTTCTTTTTGTTACGTAGTCCGTAGACTCAATGCTGCGGCAGAAGATTGTTACCTGCCAAAAAACAGTGGATGCCAGCGTCTGGTTTGGCAAGAGAAGACCAACAACCTGGAAAAGATGGGAAAAAAAAAAGTAGCAGCACAAATACACCACCAGTTTCCTCCTTGTGCTTTCTATCCATTAAAACAATGAGTTTTCTTCTATCATCTTTTCATGCTTTCTTTAATTTGTGTGTTTATTCCACCATGGGTGGCCAGAGTATTAACAAGGAGTAAGAAAATGGAAAATCTATCTGGTCTTTCAGTATTTATGAACTACCCCATGCCAGAACCTGAGCATGGTTAAAAGAAAAGAATCAATAAGCATTTACAAAGCAGGGTTCTCGCCGTCTGTCTCTGTCACTCACTAAACCCCACTTACTTGCTCTTCATTTCAATCCTCCCATCTGTAAAATGGGGGTAACTATTCAGGTCATAAGGTTTCATGAGCCTCAGTGACTTTGTAATATGCTTTGAGAGCCTCAGATGGAACTTGTTCAAGAAAGGTGAGGTACAAGTAGTGTTGTCATTTTGAAGATTAGCTCACTGTCAGAGGTTACACAGTTCATACAACTCACTGCCAGAGGTTACACAATCAACAACTATTGATAGAAATTCCTCGTGGAATCTCTCTAAAAATCAGGGGTGGCCAGCCTGCAGGTACGAGTGCCACAAGTGGTGCAGGCGGCCTGCGTGGCATGCAGCAGATCAGGAAAGGGCAGGCAGCACACCAGCGAGTGGTACAGGGAGCAGAAAGCAGAGGAGCAGACTGGGCATGGGGTGGGGGGGTTGGCGTGGCCTTTGAGGAGAGCCTGGGGCTTAATGTGAAAGAAATCAGATTTTACTCTTTGAGAGCAGAGGCTTGCCCTCTGGAAGCAGAGGATACGTTCTGCCCAGAGCTGCAAGCACTCTGGATGTCCTTGTGTTAGAAGTTCGTTCCACGAGGTAGAAAAAGAGGAGAAACCTACAACTCTTTAAAGACCCCACTCTCCACTGGAGGATGCACAAAGTACAATGGAAAGGCTGCATGAGAAAAGACTGCTGCAGCGCGAGGGACTAAGAAAGGAGATGGGAGCAAATAGGGAGAAAGGACCTAAGCCAACCCACTCAAAACGTTTCCTTGGGAAATGAACCTCCAGCTAAGAGGCAGGTCTGAAGCATCACTCCTTTGCAAAGCTGTTTTCTCTTTCCTTCAAGCTCTCTAGTTCTTTGGTAATTCTGCAGACAGGCAAGAGTGTTTCCATAATGTGAAGATGGTCTATTTTGAACATGGCCAAATGGAAAGCCAGGTGCTTTTCCTGCATGGGTGCGAATGACCTACTTAAGAGAGGATCCCAATCCGACTGATCAACGGTGGGATGCTACTTTTGGTAGCACTTTCCCCTCTGGGCTACGATGCTGTAGACTCTCTCATTCACTTTGGACCAGGCCATTGGATTCCTCTCTGACTTTATTCCTGCACAAGCCAAGAAAAGTAAAAGTCTCTGTAACAGCACCCCCTTCCACCCTCCAGCAAAAAACCCTAGTCACAGGGAGGGGAGATAAGCTGCAAGCTATAGAAGTTGCACAGGAGAGAAAGACCCTGAAAAAGGGCATGAGAAAGGTTGGGCTGGTTTAGTCTGAGCCCTCCT